TGCCGAATTATCTCTTTCGCCCTCCTCCCTCCCCCCTTCCCCTCTGGTAACCACCAATCCAATCTCTGTCTCTATGTGTTTGTTTATTGTTGTTATTATCTACTACTTAATGAAGGAAATCATACGGTATTTGACCTCATCTTAACCATTTTTAAGCGTCCAGCTTAGTAGCGTTAAGTACATTCACGTTGTTGTGCAACCATCATCACCATCCATCTCCAGAACTCATTTCATCTTGCAAAACTGAAATTCTGTCTCTGTTGAACAACACCTCCCTATTCCTCCCTCCCCACCCCCAGCCCCTGGCAGCCACCGTTCTACTTTGTGTCTCTATGAATTGTGTTAGTCTGACATTTTAAGTGGACACTACAAGAGCTCTCTGAGACCTGGGGAAGGAAAGGTCCGTTGTGAAAATTCCAAAGTAAAGTCCTAGCAAGTGGGAAGAGAACGAATCTTTGCTAAGAGCTGTCCGTGGCCTACCATATACCTCCTGCGTAGTTTCCTGAAGAAGTTTTATCTCCATTGTGCAGTATTTAGCCCGAGGAAGAACTTCCGACAGCAAGGTGTGTCTCCCAGGTCTCGTTCGGGCCTAGAGAGAGCTATGTCACTTGGTGGAGAAGGTCACAGGAAAACTTTGAGACGCAGGTTAGGTAACATTTCCTAGGTGACATTCGATCTTGGTGTGAAATGCCAAGTTCTGCAGAAATAGCACTTGACCCTAATTTCTGTCCTGTAGGTGTTCCAGCAGCCCCTAACCGCCCCATTGCCCAGGAGAGAAGCTGCACGTCCGTGATTCTCCGCTGGCTACCCCCATCCAGCACGGGAAACTGCACCATTTCTGGGTACACTGTGGAGTACAGAGAGGAAGGTGGGCCATCTCCGCCGGCTCTTCTCTTTCTGTCTTCTCTTCCTCATAAAGTCCTTCAGAGTCGTAAAACTATTTGCCTCTGTGCTTTTCATCAGCTGTTCCTTCTTGCATCTTCCAGCTCAGCACAGAGGCCTCAGGGCCAGTCCACAGCCACCTTCTGATCTCAAACATGGGGCAGTGGGTTTCGCCAAAATGGTGATGACTTGTGGCTGGTTTCAAAGTGCCTTCACGTGCGCTTCCCTACTTAACAAGCCAATCACCCAGACAGGGACAATCAGGCCCATTTTACAGATGAGGAGGCTAAAGCCTAAAGAAAGTTAAGAAACATGAGGCTGGAGTTGGTAAGAGGCAGAGCTGGCACTGAGAACCCAGGTCTCTGGTTTGCTAATTTGTGATCTTTCTCCCAGAGTAATGACTAGGGTAGCATGAGCAGAGCTTTACCACCACCCTCACCCCAGATAAAATCTAGAGATCATGAAATATATATATATGTATATATATAGTGTATATATATACACACACACACACAATATGTCATATATATATAATGACTTCTTTAAATTGTTCAATTTTAAAATTTGTTACATTTGCTTGCTAAGAGTGCATACAGTTCTCAGCAGTTAGAAACTGACCCCGACTCCTAGGATCAAGAAGAATTAGGTAAACTCAGAAGCTGCCAGGCAGCTCTAATTGTTAATCACAGGTCTCTGAACCACCTGATGAATTACACAACTGGATTGAAAGCCAACTGCTGGCACCCGGCACCAAAATTTTTACTCTCCTTTCCATCGCTCTTACTATTTTAACTCTTCTTTCTTCCCTCATTCCCTGTGCAGTTATAAAGCGATTTGTTTCTGCATCTTTTTTAAGCCATTCACTCTTGTGTCTCCCAACTCAGCACAAAGGTATTAATGCTGAGCTGAGGGACACATTTCACAAAGTTTGTATTTACTTCAACATTATTCGGTTCCTGGTTCATCTTATTAACGAAGTTCTCCTGGGAAAATTGTTTAATATTTCTGAGCCTTGGTTTCTTCATCTGTATAATGAGATTCATGAAACCCTATGAGCTCATAGGGTTTCTGTGGGTTTAAGTGAGAAAGTTAAATGAGAGAATCATGTGGAGACCCTTGCACAGTATTTTACATGTATGTCGTGCTCATACATGTTCATTTCTATTTTGTTTCAATTTCCAAATGCATATTTTCTCTCATTTTGTTATTAATTTATAGTATATTTTTCTGGCTTTATTAAAAATTTGCCACATGTTCCTCTGTAAATTCTGTATGATCTGTCTTTTCACTCACACGTGCACACGTGAAAAGGAACAGAATCTATAGGCCGACTGCTCCCACACCGCTCATGATATGTCCAGTCATTTAGGAACTGAACCCAAACCTGCCACGGTTGGCCCACTGGCTTTCAGAGTCCGACACAGTGACCACGACTGTCCCTTGAATGGAATGTGTCAATTTTCCTTTCTTTGTTTGCTGAAGGTCTTTGAAACAATGTCCCTCTGGCTTTTTCTCTTTCCCCCTCCTCGGAAACTGTGCACAGGTTCTCAGGCCTGGCAGCAGTCAGTGGCTTCGACCTTGGACACTTACCTCGTCATCGAAGACCTCAGTCCCGGGAGTCCTTATCAGTTCAGAGTCAGTGCCAGTAACCCCTGGGGGATCAGCCTTCCCAGCGAGCCCTCGGAGTTTGTGCGACTTCCAGAATACGGTGAGTCCCAGCCATGCCCAAGACACCAGGGGGTGGAGGAAAGGCACCAGGCCAGCTATCACGCACTCACGGGCACTGGCTGTTCATTGGCACATTGGGCCACCAAGCAAGAGGTGACCTGGATTTGCTCGGCAGCTTCAGTCAAGTGACATTTCAGAGGCCCGATGAAGAGTGTTTCCACAAAGTGTAATTTCAAGTGTCTTGGAGCAAAAGTTAGATCTGCCACCGACGTCTACCCTGGGCACCCGTGTGTGTCTCCAGGAACACCAAGCCTCCTCTTCCCTGGGAACCCCTGCCAGGCATAAGTGTCCCTCAGCATGAGAGACAGCCCCACTCACCAAATTAAAATGGGGAGAGGAAGGCAATGGTTGAAGGATTTGAATCAAAATGAATATTTGATAGTTTCCCCACCCCCAACACTCCCCGAATGTCTTTGTTCAACATTAATATATTTTTATGTAGATGTGTTGAATAATTAACTAAGATATACATGTAACTAGCTACACATGAGTATTTTACAAAGGTGATTCTTATTTTGCCCATCTAGTCACTATCTCACCAAGCCACCTTGGTCCCTGGGGGAAGGAGGACACTTGTTAGCCTAAAGAAATCCCCAAGTTGTGAGGTTTTCGGCAGTACAGGGGAGTGGACTGTGTGTGTTGGGCGGGGAGAGAAGGTCACTGTACTTAAAAGGCAATGAACCTGTGTCTCTGTGGGTTAAAGGAATCCCGGAGTCTCCAGAGGGGCTTGGGAAACCCTCTAGGGCCTCGGGCTACAGCCCCGCCCTCAGCCAATCTGCAAACGCTCCCCAGCCCTGTTCCCACCACCAGGCCAGCTCAGCTTCCTCAAAATGGCTTTGCTCCCATGGGCCTGTGACTCACTAGGAAACCTTAGCCCTGGGTCTCTGTTTCCTCAGCATTCAATATGGATACGGCACCTTCAGCCTCAGCCGGCTGTGCTCTGGGCAGCTGAGGTGACCAGAAGGGTCACAGTTGGTGGCTTGAGAGGAGAGGAACGGCTTTTCTGATCCCGTTCCTCTCCTGTCAAGCCACCAACTAAATCCTGCCCAGGGATGACCACTTTTCATGTTTTGCTTCTTGTAAGCATCGGTCCCCGGCAGACACACACACAGATACTGGTGTGCGTGCTTGTGTGTGTGTTAAATCATTGCAGGGAATTAACACGTCATACAAGGTAACGCTGCCAAAGACTCTACGCAGACGTATATTTTGGGTCAAGCTAAATCATTCAGTACACCGGATAAGCTCACTAATGCCTGAGGACAGCGGGGTGAGAAAGAGTAGTTTTTAGAATGTTTGAGCTCATCCTTTCCTGTTCTCCTTGGCCTTGTAACTCTGCCCCATCCTCTCTGCTGCCTCCTCCCTCCAACGCTGACTCCACTGGCTTTTCTAGCCTTCAAAGTGTTTTTCTTTCTCACTTTCAATTTTTTCTACCAAATGTCTATTTTAAAAATATCCAGAAGTTACTTTTCTGATTGTCCCAAGTTTTCCCTTTGTTTACGTAGGTGGCGCAGGGAGTCTGACTCCGTCATGTCAGTTTCCCCTTGGATATTTTTAAAATAACATTTCAGAGAATCGTGGCATTTTCCCACTGAGTGAGGCCCCCTAGTTAGTCATGAGAATTGCTCTGGGGTGATGCTAGAGCTTTGCTGTTAACCTTTTCTTTGTTCTCATGTGATAATCCTCAACATCCTAAATGATTTTTCTCTCTCCCAAAGACGCTGCTGCCGATGGCGCCACCATTTGTTGGAAGGAAAATTTTGATTCAGCTTATACTGAGCTGAATGAAATTGGAAGGTAATGACCTCATTTTCTGTTCCTTCCTTCATGAACGCTTAACATCACATCAGACTAATGGCTTGCTTTTGTTGTTGTTTCTTTTACTAAGTGCATTCTCTCCATAATAAGGAAAAACTAGAATATTTATGTGTATTTTCTATTGTTCTTTTTCTAACTTCTTCAGTTGGAACCTTCACTCCTCAACTCTCAGTCTTTCTTCTTTTCTAATATAAGAATTTAAGGCTCAACCTTTTCTTCAAAGTGTAATTTTAGCTACATCCCCAGAGTTCTGATATGTGGCATTTTCATTATCATTTAGTTCTATATATTTTTCTTCCAACTATGATTTTTTTCTTTGACCCAATTGTAGTAGAAATGTTTAAAATTTCCAAATGTCTGAGATTTTAAGAAATTATCTTCTTGTTACTGATTTCTAATTTAATTGCATTGTGGTTGGAGAACTTGGTCTATATAATACTGATCGCTTGATTTTTGTTAGGACTTGCTTTATGAGTAGTACATGGTCAATTTGCATAAAAGGTTCCGTGTGTCCCTGAGAAGAATGTATAATCACTATTTGTTGGGTACAGGTCTCATATATGTTCATATGTCAAGCACATTGTTTTATGGATATTTCTAGTCCAATATCCCCCTTCACACACACACACACACACACACACATACACACACCTCCCTCTCTCTCTTTCTTTCAGTATTTTGGTTAGAAAAGTGTGTCCTCAAAAATAAAAAGGATAAAAATATGATTTTTAACAGGATAATGAAAAAAATCTATCACCTGTCCCACAAAATAGTTGATGGAAAGGAACAAAAGGGGGTTTTACCCTGTGCATGCATTGGGCTCCAGGTGGTCTAGGTGAGAGAATGCAAGTAGATCTTGCAAGTCACCCACCCACCCTAGACGTATAAATAAAAGAGCAGCCACTCACAATGGGCCATTAGCGTCATCTCCATCTTCGACTGACGTCTCTCAATGAAGCATAAATTTCCTAAGTGGGGTGGTTGTGACAGAGGCTTTGGAGAAAGCCAAGATGTTCCTTATTCCTGTTTCTTAGGCAGAGTCACAACGTAACTCACTGCCATTCAGTACAAACACCTCTCATCACAAACCCATTTTAGCTCTGCTCTCCCCTCTTCTGTGTGTAGCCAAACAGAGAAAAAAAAAGGCCACTGGAAATTTATGTGGTAATAATGGTGACGATGATGTTTATTAAGTATCTATAGTGTTATGGATACTATGCAGATATTATACAAAAGGTATTTAATCTAATCCTTACAGCACCGTGAGGTAGTGTTTGAGTAGATTTCCAGTAAAGGAAACTTTCGGTAAAGGAAAGTTAAGTAACTTTCTCGAGGCCCCACAACTAGTAAGTGTAGACAGAATTCAACTCCTGGGTCACCTGACTCTCAGCCTTTGCTTGTTTTATCAGCATATGTTGTTTCTCATCACAGCAATTTTTGTCAAAAATAGGCCCTAGTAATTGAAATCTAGTTTGCTCCATTGTATTGAAATTCGTGAAGCTAGATATGACCCCAAAAATGAGCAAATCAAATCCCCACCTAGTTCTGAATGAAACTGGTCTCATCACCCAGATGCACTGGTTAATTCCTCCCCGAGACCTGCATTTGCTGTTGATAACCATAGGCAAGGGCATGTTTTACCTAGAAGAGATGGATGTTTTGATATTTCTCAAAGGGGAAATCAGTGTTCTGATCTGTTCAGAGCAATCAATGGTTTTTCAAAAATCTCATCTCCAATAACCTGAAGCTTTTCTTCTCTCTTAAGTATAGTCCTCATATTTTCAGAAAATCCGTTAAAAATGCTGTAGGGTAACAGAGTAGAAGTAAAACACGTAGATACTTACATGAGACACATGAAAGATATCTGTACCAGGGCCATAGAAGTGAGTCAACTTTCTCCAGCACACCTAAACTTAGAATTCTAGGCCTATACGACTATCTTGTTAAAAATAGCTCTCCAGTAATTAAATATTATAAAAACCATGGTACAAAAAAAAATATCTTCACTCCTATAGCCCATTATAGAAGCAAAGAGCACTTGAGCACAGCATATTTAAGCAGAAATAAACTAGACAGGCACCATTGCAGTGTAAAGAAGCTCAGGGAGTTGTCCCCTGGGAATGCTGATAGGTTACCTGTACAGGATCCAGAAAGGTAGCAGCACCAGGCCTCCAGGTAAGGATGGCAGGTTGAACACAGCCATCTATTTTCACTCCCTCCTGAGACCTCACTAAATCTACAGTAAAGGAATTTTTTTAAGCAGGTACATAAGGATAAGGACTTCGGAAGAATAGACAACAACAATAAAGAATTAAAAGCAGAAAAACAGGTGAAAGAGTGACAAATGACCTAGGAGATCTGCGAAAACTCAATCCAAGTCAGTGGTGGAGTCTAGTGAAAGCCAGTATGACTTCTGCAGCAGAATTCCCCAATGGCTCAGGTACTGGCAGCACCAAGTTCCTCTGGAAATAGGTGTAAAGAGGATGCTAACATTGGAAGGATTGGCTGAACTCAGTGTGAGAAGAAGTTGTGGCTCCAGATCTCCTCCCAGCTTCAGATAGCTGTATGATTGTCCTTCCCCATCTGGGAGAAGGCTGGAGGTTTATTCTCTAGAAAGGGAGAAACAGAGTGCTTCTGTTCTTGGGGACACCAGCATAGTTGAGGGCAGGGGAACCATACTCCGTGGTGTCTGATGCATCGATTTCTGCTAGAGGAATGGACTGCTCTGCCAACCGTTTCCTCCTGTGCTCATGGGTTAGTGCACCTCGTGGATGGGCCTTGGATGGCACTGCCTTCTCACCTCTTGGACCCTCCCTTTTTCTGCTTCATTGCTGACCAGTTCCCCTTCTATTTCACTCTCTTAACTTCCTTCCATAGGGCTACAGCTGGGTCTGGGAACCATTCTGTCTATTTTAGGTGTGGTTAATTTTGTTAGATGTGAAAATGGCATCGTGGTTATATATCTTAAAATGTCCTTGTCAATAGAGATGCAAACTGAAGTATTTATGAGTGAAATAACATGATATCTGGATTTTGTTTAAAATACTCCAGAAAAAAAAGGCAGATGGTGGGAAAGGAATAGGTGAAATAAGGTTGTCAAAATGTTGATAATTATTGACGCTGACTGCTGAGTGCATAGAAGATCTACTATGCTAGTCCCTCTACTTTTGTGTATATTAGATGTTTTTCATAATAAAAAGATAAATACAAAATAAAATGAAAAAATTGCCTCTTTAAAACATGTTTTTGAAATTATCATAGAGCAGAATTCCACCTTTAACATCGTTACTGTTGTTATTATTGCATTTTATACAAATATACTGTTTAGAAAACTGAACCTGTGGTTGATGTTCAAAAAGACAGAGAAATATATTGACTAAAAAGTATTATTTGTTAGTTTTTCAAATCTCAAAGAACCTTAAATCTAAAGAAGGAAAAATGGCTTTTCTGAATGATAACATGATAATTAAAAATACAGGAAAGCAGGATTCCTAGTAAAATGTTGCTGTCTGACCACTTCGGATAAAACTTTAGACATCCTTGAATAAAATGATACCTAGCTGATTGATGAATCTTGGCAAAACACTGTCTCCCTTTTGTTTTCCAGAGGCCGTTTCTCCATAGTCAAGAAGTGCATTCACAAAGCTACCCGCAAAGATGTCGCCGTGAAATTCGTTAGCAAAAAAATGAAGAAAAAAGAGCAGGCTGCCCACGAGGCTGCCCTCCTTCAGCACCTGCAGCACCCCCAGTACATCACTCTGCATGACACCTATGAGTCCCCCACATCCTACATCCTGATTTTGGAACTGTAAGTACAGGTGTCATCTCTCTAAGGAGGTCCCCAGATGTTTGGGTTACTTATTGCCCACAATTGATGGACAAGGCAGTTACATTTTATACAATGTCTTATCGTTTACAAAGTGTTGTATGTCACATGCACTCTCTCCTCCATTGCATAAAAATGTTATTCTTGGGCCAGCCCTAGTGGCCTAGTGGTTAAGTTTGGTGCACTCCACTTCAGCAGCCCAGGTTTGGTTCCTAGGCGTGGACCTACACCACTCGTCTGTTAGTGGCCATGCTGTGGCAGTGGCTCACATACAAAAAGAAGAAGATTGGCAGTGGATGTTAGCTCAGGGCGAATCTTCCTCAGCAAAAAAAATATTTTTAAATAAATAAATTAAAATGTTATTCTTATTTTATAGATTAGAGAATCAAAAAATAAGGAAGTTAACTAAAACTAACTCCTTGAAACTAGGAAATGGTGAAGCTGGGACTTGAACCCACATCTTTCTCCAATTTGCATTTTCTTTCTATTATGGACTCTTGGGCTGGGCCGGAGTTTAGAAAAAGCTTGACAGTGGGCTTATTGACATGGGTGGAGTTGAAATGGAAGAGAGCAGTTTGTGCATCATTCCACTGCCATAGCATCCCCAGTCTGTCACCCAAGAGATTCCTTTTAGGGTAGAACCTTATCTTCATAACACTGCACTCATTCCAGATTTTCTAGGGACTCAGGCAACCATACACTTGGGCCCACATACTTGGCGCCAGAATAGAGCAATAAGGTCACATGCTCCCCACTATTTCCCCAAGCTAGGAAGAGATCATGCTCTGTGGTTCAGAGAGATCTTACAGAAGCTAAAGAGAACAGTCTTTTCAGAGTACTGAGCCCTCATAGAAATGTTATCTGATCGGTACTAATGGGGCCCTGGGCCTGAAGAGAAGACAGACATTTGCACTGAAGACTGATGCTGTGTATGGCTCCACATGAACTGATGTTCAGCAAAGAAGCACCTCCATTTACAGCTTTTCAACTGTCATTTTAGTCTTGCTCTTGTTAGTCAAGGTGTTTGTGTATGGGGGCCTTTGAGGCAGTAACTTATAAATTTATTTATGATGAAAAAAAGAAAGAACATGAAAACATCTTTGGGTACCTTTTTAGATTGGTTGAAAAGAAACAAGAGGAGACAAAACCAAAGTGACAACATGCCAGCTACTACACAGCTATATAAAGTATCACAAAAGAATTAATAAGTACACTTACAAACAGCCTTTCAGAGCCCAACCTGTTTGTTGGGAGCTTCCTAACTCAAAAGACATATTCTCTTGACAGTGAACTATCTTTGTTTACAAGTGACAACATGTGATACTTGAGTTCCAATAAGAGGTATTGTCGCTTGTGTACCAAAGTGGTACAGCAGACCTGGAACTTTTGCCCCATCACATTGCTGATTACCATTCCAAGAGAAGGTGTTGATTACCAAGCTGCCACAGTGCAATGGAAAGATGCCATTCTTGGAATGAAGAACCTGGGCTCTTATCCCAGCTCTGTGATCTGGGGCAGTGTACTTAGCTTCCTGGGCCTCCGGGTCCTCATCTGTGAAGTCTGAAGAATTATTTCCACTTCTCAGGGATGTTGTAAGGATTAAATTTGATGAATACTGGCTTGAACTAGTTTATAAAATATTTACTGAGCACTCATTGTGTGCCAACCGCTGTGTAGACCTGGGCCAGGGTGGGAGGAACAAAGACGAAAAGATATAGTTCTTGCCCTTGAGGAGTTATAAGCCTAATGAGGAAGACCAATAGATAAATGAATGATTTCAATAAAGCATGGTACATGCGTATGCAGGGGAGGGTTGCTGTGAGAACATAGAAGGATGCTTGGCTGGACTTGAGGTTCAGAGAAGATTTGTTGAGAGGCAATGCCTGAGCTAAACCCTTCCAAAACTTGGTTATGCCATGACTGTGGGGCCCCCCTTAGGCAGCCATCCAAATCGCTGCTAGAGCTTTTCTCTACCAGGCATCTGAGGTTCTGTTCCCCTAGTCTACGGTGGGGCCTGGGTGTCTGCATTATCCAAGAGCTCTAAGGGTGAACTTGGTGGCTGAGACCTTCTGGTCTTAGAGCAGTGCTACTATGAATTTCTCACTTAAGCACCCCAAGAAGTTCGGGGGGGGTGCATCTAATAAGCCCAATCCTACTCCACTCCACTTCATGCTCACCATTCCCACCCCACCCTGGCAGGGTCAGAGGAAGGCAAAGGAGGTCTTCACTGGTCCTAGCCTTTGCTCCTGTCAAGGAAAGCAGGAGAGGAGACCAGTGGGAAGGAAGAAGCTAGAGAAGAGAATGGAAACTTGTCTGGAGGGTTTCAGCTGTGCTTAAAAGTAGTTTCTGATGCTGGTTCAAGCTCCTCTGCCTGGGTATTTCCTGGGGATGTGCCTTCAACAGCTCAATGCACATTAGAGAATAACTGCTTGACATCTGGTCACTCCTTGCTAAAGAGGGCACAGGGTACCTGAAAAGAGTTGCCATTTATCGAGCATATTGCTACCAATTATGCTTAAATGCCTCCTTGTCTCACTTGATCCTTGCACAATCCTCATAATGAAGAAGGTGTTATTATTGTTGTTATTATTCGCACTTTAAAGATGAAGAAACCAAAACACAGAGAGTTTAAATGACTTGCTCCAAGCCCCCAGCCTTTAAGTGGCGGAACCAGGATTCAACCCTGTATCTGGCTGGCTCCTCGTACATTGTTTTCAGTCACAGTTTTTAAGATTGGAAAGTTGCCCAAAAGGCAAAGGATTCAAAAAGGGGTCAAGAATGCCAAGGACAAACTTTGCCTATTTTCCATTTTTCCCCAATTAAAAATTAACAAATAAAAGCAATTTGCAAAACATATGTGGGGCTGCTTGCAGCCACCAGGTTCCAGTTAATTAGAATATTGCTGAGATCTCTCTTTCTCTCTCTCTCTGTGAAGAGTTTCTCTATTTTGGAATCTCACCCGTTAAAGAGATGTCAGGCCTTTTTCCTCGTGAGCAATTTTAGAAGTTAACAAAACAGAATGTATCTTAAGGTCACACAAATTTCTTCCCTGAAGCAAACCACATTTGTTATTTATTTAAGTTCTGAACATTATACTAACTTTGGGCTCTAACTAAAATATGCATGTGTTGCAACATTGATCTTAACTTATAATAGGGAATGGGATAGGTCTTAGCAATCTTACAGATCTGTTATTTTTCTGTTTCTTTACAAACATTTTCCTTTGGCTTTTCCTCCCTACTTTCAGGATGGATGATGGCCGGCTCTTAGACTACCTTATGAATCATGATGAGCTGATGGAAGAAAAAGTAGCTTTCTACATCCGGGACATCATGGAAGCTCTACAGTACCTTCACAACTGCAGGGTTGCACATTTGGACATAAAGGTAAGAAGAAATAGCAACCCTTGCAGGGCAATGGTTAAGTCCCACCTGCCAGTCATTACCCTTGAGGGATGTAAATTCTAATTCATTTTATTTACCTAGAGTAGAATCCTTATGAATATTAAACAGAAACTAGGTTGTCACACAATTTAATTGTGTTATTCGTGAATTAATGAGAACACACCAAAGTCACAATGACGTCTAGGGTGAGACAAGGTAGGGAGGCTTTAACCACTTCATCTGATTTTATAAAAGGAAGCCAATAAATATCACCTTCTTTTTCATGGTGCTCAAAAAGAAGCCCCTGTTCTCCAAAATGAATAATTTATTCTTGATTCAATGCAGAAGTAAGGGGTAGTTAAGACATGATTTTCAATGCTAAACGATTTCTCTGAAGTACTGCCCAAACTTAGAGTTTAGCTTCTTTGAAGCCTTCTATGCACTTTGCATAGGAAATGTCCCATACACCGTAGACTTTATCAAAGAATAGCAGAGTTGCTATTGGCTACCAGTGGAGTTCTACGGGTAGTCAAAGCAGAGATCTGAACTTGCCTTCTCTTCTCCCTGCCTCCCTGGATCTCCCCAGCCTGAAAACCTGCTTATTGACCTACGAATTCCAGTGCCTCGAGTGAAGCTCATTGACTTGGAGGATGCTGTCCAGATCTCAGGTCACTTCCACATCCACCACCTGCTGGGTAACCCCGAGTTTGCTGCCCCAGAAGTGATCCAAGGCATCCCTGTGTCCCTGGGCACAGATATCTGGAGCATCGGGGTTCTGACATATGTCATGCTGAGTGGGGTCTCCCCCTTCTTGGATGAGAGCAAAGAGGAGACATGTATCAATGTGTGCAGGGTGGACTTCAGCTTCCCCCATGAGTACTTCTGCGGCGTCAGCAATGCTGCCAGAGATTTCATCAATGTGATCTTACAGGAAGACTTTCGAAGGCGGCCCACGGCAGCCACCTGCCTGCAGCATCCGTGGCTGCAGCCCCACAATGGCAGCTACTCCAAGATCCCCCTGGACACCTCCCGCCTGGCGTGCTTCATAGAACGCCGCAAGCATCAGAACGATGTGCGGCCTGTTCCTGATGTCAAGAGCTATATTGTCAACCGGGTAAACCAAGGGACGTAGCCATCTCCTGGCCCTTGAGGTTTCACATGGAAGTGCAGTGTGAACCAAAGCAAGACTGAATGTGTCTGTAAATAATTCTGTTAATTATTTCACTCCATGCGGTTCTCTGGATTGAGAGATGTACCTCTTAAACCTCGTCAGTGGTTATTCAGGGTCTAAGCAGGAGTAAAGTCACCCTAAAGCCAGGGGCTTTCCAGAAGGTCATTCAGAAGAGAGAAAGATGCAGAGTCACCAAAAGTATTAAAAAGAGGGGCAAGGATAACAAGAATATTCGCTGTTATGTTGTGTGTTCCAAAATGAGTAATTAACTGGGAAAAACTTAAGCTCACTGTAGTGAGTATAAAAGGTTTCTGCCTTTGCTGAAATTTTAAGCAAAAAGTTCTATTTAACAGAGATGTCATGTATGTCAACTATTCTGGTTTAGATTACTTAGATATAGTTTCTTAATAGGATACATATACACATACAGTAAAATATATCCAATGCAGGTTTCAGAGTTTTATAATATAGAGATATATATGAAATCAATCATAAGTAACTTTGAGTGTTCCAGTTAAGACAGTAATTTATTTACAGAAGCATTACATTGTTTTGACTAAGCACAATTAGAAGACAAGTTTTTTAGAGCATTTTATAAATCTTGTATAGAAATCTTTTACCAGAACCTGTGCGTTAAGAGAAAGCAATGTTACCCTTTTGCAGTCTGTGAACGAGAAGATTTTTCTCGTGGCCACAGGCATTTGACAACAGAGGTTCTGTATATGAAATGCTACCCCCAAATTCACTGGCAGCTCAGAGTTAATCTGGCAGGAAAGCCTGCCAGGAAATAAGTCCAAATACAGTAAGAGTTGTGGGGCTATTTTTATGTCTACACTCGGTTTGAAATAGGTTATGAATATAACAGGTTCATACAAAAGGGCAAATAGAAACCTTTCCTACAGTTCCTATGAACGACATCACAACACTTTCTGGTGTCTTCTACAGCTGTAGAATGCAGTCCTCAGAAAGTTGGCCTGCTTTATTTCTAACTCCTTATGGAAGCTAAGGGGTGCTTACCAAAAGGAGGCAGCCATATAGGCCTTTTAAAGGCCTAGTCCCAAGTCCTTTTTGAAGCCATGGAATAAAATCTGATGCATCATCCTAACAGAGCATTGAGTTTTAGCTGCAATCGCAATACTTATCAGCACTCAGCCACCGATAATTCCCTAGACTTAAAAGGACTAATTGCACGTAGAGGCCAACGCTGCTTTCTGGTGTCTATTCTCCATATAAGATGATTATGAACTGCCCTTTATTCTGCTGGTGGGAAAAAAAATTAAACCTGGGCATTTCATGATTTTTTCCTTTCTTTTTTTGTTTTTGGGGAAGAGTTTTCCTTTTATGTTTGTACATGATACACTCTTTGTTTTCTAGAATGTGCTTTGAAAATTGCTGTTATGCAAATCATATTTTAAAAATATAACTCAAGTGTTTGTCCAAATCAGGTTTAATAGCATTGCTTCTCTCCTATAATAGGATTGAGAAAATTAAAATCATGCAGCACAGAAGTGCAAGCAGAGCGTTTATGAAGGATAAAGAGAACTACAAACATATCTAAATGAAAAAGAAAGGTGGAAACTAAGCCTGAACTTTAAAACATAAAAACACTTATTCTCACAGTGGAAATGTAGAATTAAATAGGCTCATCATTCTTTTCCATTGGTTTCAAAGTCAGCTTCCTCATCCACCCTCCACCTCATCCTGTCCAAGATTATAGATTAATAAATTAGTAGAAAGTACAAGCAATAAGACTAGATAGCACTTCATATTTTCAGGATTAACCAAATATATGGAAACTGACTTCGACTGTATTTGTTTCCTAGTTTTCAAATGGCCCTGGGTCATCAAGTCTCCCTCAGAGCTCTCTCTTGACTAGCTCTCCATACTGTTCATTTAAACCCGTATGTATATACAAATACTATATGATACAATATTTTAAAATTTAAAACATATTTACTAAAAACTCTTTTAGTAAATATGTCTTCATCAGAGCGTAAAAGAAGAAAGCCTGGTCCCTAGGGCTTATCCTGGGATAGATTGCAGGTGCTGAGGATTCCAAATATTTATAAAGTATGGCTTGGCAAGTTCTGTTCCATCCATTGTGGACAACAGAGCCCCCTAATGAGTCAAGTTGAGTTTTTATGACCATGTAGGAGACAAGCTGAATTTCTGCTTGAGAAGGACAGGGCCTAGGACAATGGTGCACAGATTGCACAGGAGAGCATTAATGAAATCATATTGTGGGGAGGACATTTGACAGAATGTTAGAGCCAAAGCTTTTATATCAGCTTTTACATCAGAGTTAGGATGGTCCAGATGTGAGGTTGTATGGAATCGCCCCAAGTACACTTTTTGGGGAAGTGAGGAGACAGGAGAGGAGGGACATAGAAATGAAAAGCAGTAGGATTTTGTTAATTGGAGCCAAAGTACAATCATTAGAGTAGAATGAATTTAATAGAGGCCCCAAGAGAAAGGGTGTATATTTTATATAGTTTGATAACTGAAGAAAACTAACAGGGAGGCTCCCTGTCTGCAAAGCTCCTGGTCCCTCCCAACAGGGATAAGCTAGTGGTCCTGGTTCAAGAATTCTCCACAGCACGTTGGAAATGATGGGGCTGGGAAATGTACTTTAGGTTGCTCTGTGGGCAACTGTGGTAAGACATGAAGGAGTAGGACCCACTTTCTTATACCTGTTTTGGCAGAGATATTTATTACTTTGTGGGAGAGAAGAGGGGAGAGAAAAGAAAATAGTCCACTTCTACTACAATTATGGCAGTTCTTGAAATCAAAACTAGGAATTAGTGGGAATGAACTTCCAGTTGAAATGGGAAAAATAAACGTTGGTTCAAGTCACAAGTTTGTTGCTTGGCTTATAGTCATTGTATAGAGTTTTGAGGCTTTTTGTAAGGGTGGGATGCAGAGAGGAGGAAGAGATCAGGGACAACCTATAATAATTTTTAAAAGGTATAATGACTTACTGCATCTTTTACATTTGTTTCAAATTAAAGAAATTTATATCCACTTACAGCTGATTGTGGGAAAACTTTTAAGAACAAAATTGCAATGTTGGAGGTGTCCTTCGGGTCTCTCACAGCCATAAACACTCTTGGGGGAGTAGAGGAAGCAGAGGAAAAGCTGGCTTTAGCGCTTTGTGGTTCACAAAGCCTTTATAAATAGTAGTGCCTTTCAGAGGGGAGGATGGGAGATAAAGAAGTTCATTGTATTTAGATTGACTGATACTGCAGCATTTTCTCTTTATTTTAAAATATCTTTTAAATGAAAACATCTGAATATAAGGTGAGCCCAGGAATTCTTGAGTTTCAACCTCAGCTATTCCTGATTCGTCCTTTCTTACAGAAAGTGTTTTTTCTGCCCCGAATGTCCCCATTGTTAAAATGGGAGTTGGGGGGAAGGAGGGAAGGACATTCATCTCATAGGAATGTTGGGAAAATACCTTAGTTGGGAGGTCTAGAAAATACTTTGATTTTTTTTAAAGTGCTACACAATGCCAGTGCTAAGAATTTTATTGATAGTGACTTTGAACATTCCAGGTTTTCAATGTTCATGTCTTTAGATATCATTTGCAAACTCATGAGATTAAATTCTGTAAATTGATTTTAATTGGAAATACTAGCTGCTCTTTGTCTAGATGTTATTTGGTCTTAGCCTGTAATTTCAATCATTTAAAAGCTTGTCTACAGAAAAAGGTTAGGAGAGCTGATGAAGTCTTATGTTAATAAACTGTTTTCTCCAGTATCTTATGGCAGACACAAAGAGTAAGAGGCCTCCCAGAGCAACCGCCACTCTCTCTTCTCAAGCTTTATGCTCTAGAAAAATTGACAGAGAAGAACCCAAACAGTCACTTTCCTCACTGGGAGGGCAGAAATGAGAATAAAATATTTTCTGATATCACAGCTCATTTCTTTAGAGTCTCGTAGGCATCTATTATGAGAGGCACATTAAACTCACAGGTGCAGAAATGAATTGAACTGTTGGTTTTTGGAGGGGAAACCTTGGACCTTTTTTTTAGATAATTAGGTGTTTCAGGATTTGCATATCTGCTGTCCCATCATCTCTGATTTAGTGCCCGTGAGTTAGTCATTGCCGTTTTTCTTGCGTATGTGGAAAAACATGGAAATTTAGGTTTGTGAGAAAATTAGGAAGCAAATATGTTATAAACTAAATAGTGGCTATTTCTGTGTATTAACTAAAACTTTGTCCCAAGCATTTGATAAAGGAGGAACTATTTCAAATGTAAGGGTCTCTGCATAAGGGCAAAGGTACAGACTAACCACTTCCTTGTTCAGTTTTGAGTAAAGTGGGCCTTATTCCTTTCTCTCCCATGTAGCATTTCTGTGAAGTCTGGGTTAGGCAAACACAGTATGTGAGCTTTCAGTGGACTTATTTGCATTATGATTTTCCTTAACTATTTAAGCTCTAGGGAGCACTTAGAAATGAATGACTAAACCCAGAGTGGTGTTAGGAAAGATAAGGTTTACACGTACTCCACTAAGAAAGGGAAGCTACTATGTTAACATTTCTTTTCTAAAAACCACAAGGTTCTCAGCTGTTTCATTAATTCTAGAGGGTTAAAAAGGGCTGAAATTTGTCCATAGCACTGGAGATTTTTAATAAAAAATATTATTCATGTGAGAAATCTATAGAGACATAGAACACAGAAATATCACAGGCCATATTTTCTATGAAAGGCATTTCTTCCTCATTTTCAGTATACATAGAAGTTAGAGGAGAGGAAAAAGCAATTACTCTAAGACAAATTTTCATCTTTAAGGGACATTTATGGAAAGCCTGAAATTAATACTCATAGGCTATTGTGTTTTCCTGTCAGCCTGTTTGCTGGGAGATTCTAAAATGGGGTCAGGTTTAGTTTTTATTCAAATTATCAAGATTAACTATTCAGGTAACTCTTATTTCAAATAGTGAAGAAAGCTGAGAAAAAGGAGGGTGGTAGAAAAAAAGCGCAAATAATTTTCGGATTCCCAACTCTTGAGGCTTAATTGAAGCAAGCTAATTTGCTAGCCCAGGAATAGCTAGCATGAGTTCCATCAATGTCAGACTTCTATCAAGAAATGCATCCACATCCTGGAGTCTTGTGGGGACTGTTACCATCATCTCAAAGACTGTGGTTATGAGTTTGAAGTTAAAACATAGATCTTCTCTTACTAACTTAAGCCATATCTGTCATCTCTGTGTTTGATTTTTTTGACCCTGGTGCTTTTCTGTTTCTGCCAAACTTCAGCCTACTCTATGGGGAAGGTGAGTAAAACTCGTAGTTAGGACAAATGTGAAGACTGTGAAAAAACATACTCTTCAGAATGAGATCCTAGTCAGAGAACAGTAGTGATCAAAGTGCAAACTGTTGGAAAATATGGATATATATACATCTGTACATGTATATAGTGTATAATATGTATGTATATGTTATTGCTCATATGCAGAAATCTATCCATTTGAAGACAGCCCAGGTGGGTCAGTTTTTCTATTGGAAAACCATTTAGGGACATTCAAAACCATTAGGGCTGATGGGCAGAGTTAGATTCTACTCATTTGGGAATTATTTGCTGTCTTTTGAAGTCCACAAAGCCAAAAAACAAAGCCTGAATCATAATGGGGCCATTATTTAGGTTATTTTGTTTACCTGGAGTCTTTATATCTTTATATTTGAATTATTAATAATTGGTTTGCAAACTGCATTGGCACCTCTTGGTTTTGAGTGACCCCTCCCCACCAAGTCTCTTGAGAGTTTGGGGTGGGCTTCTCTGGCCATTCAGATAAAGGGCCTTATCCATAAGTGGACAGGTTTCCCCATAGGGACCATTACACATATACATATAACTACATACTTCCATCAGGCTTGTAACAATTGATTTAAAATCACTCCACAGTATTGATAAATAGCTCTATATTTTCAAGGTGCAGAAGAATTCCACAGCCTTAATTATTTCAGTGTCTTGCTGGTCTGCCTTAAGTGTATCTTCTGGGTTTTTGGTTGTCTTATTATTTTTAAATTTTTCTGCAGTTGTTCATTTTGTATGCACACAATGTCGTTTTGTAAAGGTAGCGTTGTAAATATTTTATTTGTAAGTCAAAATCACTCGTGTAATGTTGTAAAGTGATAACCTGCTGTCTTGTTGTTATTACTACAGTAAATGTTCTAAGTTATGGATGAAACTTCAAAATGTACATCTCACAAGTTATGCATTCCTATAAATATACTATACTAAGATATTTCTGGTGGTCTTCCCCTTCTCTTCCTAATTAAAACCTTTGTTCAAAAAAAAAGTAATTTTTTTTCTCACTTCCTGCAAATATATGAAAGCCTTTGACAAGGTGAAGATATCACATTACTATTACACTTTTTGCCCAGCGTTTTGGAAAGAAAGCCACAACTCTGTAGCCTAGAGAAGTTTTCTAAGGCATTTCTCTATTCAAAAATGCCAAATAAGTCTCAGATGTGTGTTGTTAACTTCATTCTTGTGTTTCACATGGCAACTTTGTTAGAAGACTGGCAGGCCATTTGGACTAGATCTTACAAGTTTATGTATCATAGTGTGGCCTCCAGGAGCCTGGATTAGCCTATGCAGACATGACCAGGCTTTGAAAGAGTCTGCATGTGGCACCCAAGTGCAAATGAGACTGATTCATAGCACACCGTCAATTAGCTAGTGTTAGAGACTGAAGTGATTAGTTTATTTTGCCAATAAGAACAAAAATGTTTTAATATTTGGCTTCTATTTCATCAAGATTTTACTGCATTTATTTGAAATGAGAAACAACTGTCAAAAGCATGGGTTCTTGGGCCGGCCCCGTGGCTTAGTGGTTAAGTGCGCACGCTCTGCTACCAGCGGCCCGGGTTCGGATCCTAGGTGCGCACGGACTAGCTGCGTGTCTGGCCATGCTGAGGCCGCGTCCCACATACAGCAACTAGAAAGATGTGCAACTATGACATACAACTATCTACTGGGGCTTTGGGGGAAAAAAAATGGAGGAGGATTGGCAATAGATGTTAGCTCAGAGCCGGTCTTCCTCAGCAAAAAAAAAAGAGGAGGATTAGCATGGATGTTAGCTCAGGGCTGATCTTCCTCGCTAAAAAAAAAGCATTGGTTCTTCACACTGGCTGGTCAGCACAATCTCTTCAGAGAAAATACAGACATATATAAAGAATATAGAAATATAGAAGTGAAAACAGAATCAACTTGATGAGTAACAACCATGAGTCCTATGATTTTAAGGGTTATTTTCCTTAAAGCATTGCCTTCTAGACATGATGAGAATTTCCCCCATTTGAAAGGATTTATTTGTAAAGACCAATACACTTGGATTTTCAGATTGGCTAGTAAGATTACCCGCCTGGATAACCTTGACACCGATCAATTCATCCTCCTCTACTCTGCTCCCTTCTCTTCCTCACCTGCTGCACACTTACTACGTGCCAAGCACTTGAGCTACTCTAACCAGAATAAACACACTTCCTCCTCCAGTACAAGCGGTAATAAGCAATTACCTGCTAAGCGCTTTATAGCCCCATGTGCAAATTGCTATGACACTGTCATGTGCCGGACACCATGAAGTTAACAAAAGAATTGAGTAAAGGTCCTTGTATTCGAGAATTTACACTCTATTTGGAGAAACCAGAAGGCGGGGTGGGGGGGAGAGGAGTCATGCCTAATAGGCATATAACGACATGCTCGGCCAAGGAGTAGAGATAATTAAGAGGACACTGAGCTATATAAAAACGGATTTATACAAACTCTCTTGAGAGGCTTGACTTTATGATCCCGCAGTCAATCTAACTATTTGGACCTTTAAACTCCAGCGATCCCATCCAGACGCAGCCAGCAGAAGCACAGACCCCGACACGACTTTCCCTACTGCCGCCTGACCCTTGCTACCTAACACCCGGGACCGCGCCCAGCGAGCCCGCCCGGCCGCCGGAAAAGGGGGCGGAAGAGGCGGGACGTCTCGGGTGACGTCACGGGGGCGCCGCAGGCCGGGGGCGGTTGGGAGTTTGGAGCAAACAGCGCGCGACGATGGCGGCCGCCGATGCAGCTTTGGGGTCATTGGTAACGGGTCTGTACGACGTGCAGGCTTTCAAGTTTGGGAACTTCGTGCTGAAGAGCGGGCTCTCTTCCCCCGTCTACATCGATCTGCGGGGCATCGTGTCTCGACCGCGTCTTCTGAGTCAGGTGCCGGCCCGGGAAAGGGAAGAGCAGGCTGGGTGGCGGGAATGGGGACTAGGAGATGGAGGAGGGGTTACTGGCGGACTCCAATATCGTCGTGGGCAGTGGGTTTGAGAAGCCCAGAGACCAGGAACTGTTAGGCTCTTGGGTTCCTAGAGAGCAGCCTGATCTTTGACCCGCCGTCTTTGACACGTGGTTTGCAAGACACTCGGGAAACCCAGTTTGGGGCCCTTTCTCTAATGGAAGTAGTTGAAAGAGTTATGTGTTTTTAACCTCGAGAAAATTAGACCTGGGGGAGAAAGGAAAAGGTGGGAGGGGGGAGAATTTAGTAGCTGTTCAAATACTTGGGAAGGGCTGTTGCTAGGAAAAGGGAATTTGATTTGCACTGTGTGGCCAGGAGCAAGAATTGAGGCGAGAGGGTGGACATTTCATGGAGGCAGTTTTTTGGTCAATATAAGGAAAAATTTTGTACAAATTAGAGGTTTCTAGCACAGTGCTTCTCAAACTGAGTATATATGAATCACCTGGGAATTTTGTTAAAATGCGTAATCTGATTCAGTACACCTGAGGCGGGGCCTGAGGTTATTCATTTCTGACAAGCTGCCAGCCAAAGCTGCAAACCACACTTTGAGTAGAAGTGTCTAAATGTGCTGTCCAGTAGAGTTGCTACTAGCTATGTATGAATATTGAGTATTATGAATTTTTAAATTGAAATAGTAACGTGTGACGAGTGGCTACCATATGGGACAGTGCAGATATAGAACATTTCCATCATCACAGAAGTTATATCTAGAAGATGTATAAGTTTCCTCCATCACGTAAGGGTTTATATTCACCCTTTGTGAACCTCACCTTGTGAGGTTATTATAAAAAGCATTGAAGCCCTAGTTGAAGTGGTTTGGACTGTTCTCACCACCCAGAGTCTTGCTATGGTGCATCTCATCAGTGCTGAGAAAGTGAATGACAAGGGATCTTCTAATGAAAATTTGGTTTATTTTTTAACAAGTCGTCAGTTGCTAGATGATTAAAAATTATTTTTTGATACTAGTTCTTGGTGTGTGTTAGTGTCTGTGTGATTTTTGGTCATTAACTTGGAAGGAGTTCAAAACACTGAGAGACCTGGCTATAGCAGAATTCCTTTCATGTCTCCTTATTTATGTGAATAGGGTTTCTCAGTATTTGCACTCAAAAAATGCAATAGAATTTACACTAAACTCCAACTTCCTAGTAGTAATATTCAATTACAGTAGATAAATAAACTAATGGGGGGGCGGGGGTGAAGGTACTATTCATCTCACTAAGAAATGCATTTCCAAAATAATCTTTTTTATGCTTCTATCAAATTTTGCAAGTTGTGTTTTAATTAATTTTGTATAACAATTGTGATGATAACACAAGAATTTTTAACACTTACAGACTTATGGGCATGGGGAAGTTTTTAAAATTTACAATTTTAAATTTCAATTTACATACATTTTTATTTTAGTGAAGTATGATAGGAAGTAAAAGTTTTTCAAGTGTAAATATATATTGCATTAGAATAAAATTTTGTGAAGCCAGTGGAATGAAAATATGAGTTCCCCAAAAATGTAAATTTTTCCAGCTTTGATAGTCCAACATTTTCATGTTTTTTTGGTCTTTTTTTTTAATTGAAGTATAGTTGACATACAGTATTAGTTTCAGGTGTACAATATAGTGATTCGACATTTATATACTTTACAAAATGATCATTATGACAAGTTTAGCAACCATCTGTCACCATACAAAGTTATTACAATGTTATTGACTGTTATACATTACATCCCCCTGACTTATTTATTTTATAACTGGAAGTTTGTACCTCTTAATCCCCTTGACCTGTTTCGCTCATCCTCCCATCTGCCTCTCCTCTGGTGACCACCGATTTGTCCTTTGTATCTGTGAGTTTGTTTGTTTTGTTTTGTTTGTTTGCTTGTTTTTAGATTCCGCATATAAGTGAGATCATATGTTATTTGTCTTTCTCTGACTTATTTCACTTAGCATAATGCCCTCGAGGTCCATCCATGTTGTTGCAAATGGCGAAATTTCATTCTTTATGACTGAATAATATTCCGTGTGTGTGTGTGTGTGTGTATACCACAATTTCTTTATCCATTCATCCATTGATGGGCACTCAGGTTGTTTCCATATCTTGACTATTGTAAATAATGCTACAGTGAACATGGGTGTGCATATGTCTTTTCAAGTTAGTGTTTTCCTTTTCTTTGGATAAATACCCAGAAGTGGAATTGCTGGATCATATAATAGTTCTATTTTTAATTTTTTGAAGAACCTCCATACTGTTTTCCATAGTGGCTGCACCAATTTACATTCATACCAACAGTGTACAAGGGTTCCCTTTTCTCTACGTCCTCGCCAACACTTGTTATTTGTTGTCTTTTTAATAATAGCCATTCTGATAGATGTGAGGTGATATCTCATTGTGGTTTTGATTTGCATTTCCCTGATGATTAGTGATGTTGAGCATCTTTTCATGTGTCTGTTGGCCATCTGTATGTCTTCTTTGGAAAAATGTCTTTTCAGATCTTCTACCCGTTTTTTAATCAGATTGTTTGGATTTTTGCTGTTGAATTGTATGAGCTCTTTGTATATTTTGGATGTTAACCACTTATCAGATATATGATTTGCAAATATTTTCTCCCATTTAGTCGGTTCCTTTTCGTTTGGTTGTTGGTTTCCTTTGGTGTGCAGAAGCTTTTTAGTTTGATGTAGTCCCACATGTTTATTGTTGCTTTTGCCAAATCCAAAAAATCATTGCCAAGACCGATGTCAAGAAGCTTACCAGCTATGTTTTCTTCTAGGTGTTTTATGGTTTCAGGTCTTCCGTTCAAATCTTTAATCCATTTTGAGTTAATTTTTGTATAGGGTGTAAGATAGTGATCCAGTTTCATTCTTTTGCATGTGGCTGTCCGGTTTCCCAGCACCATTTATTGAAGGGACTGTCCTTTCCCCCACTTTGTAGTCTTGGCTTCTTTGTTGTAAATTAATTAACCACTTATGTGTGGGTTTATTTCTGGGCTCTCTATTCTGTTCCATTGATCTGTGTGTCTGTTTTTATGCCAGTACTATACTGTTTTGGTGACTGTAGTTTCGTAATATACAGGCATACCTCGTTGATTTTGCTTCGCTTTAGTGTGCTTTGCAGATATTGCATTTTTTTTACACAGGAAGGTTTGTGGCAACCCTGCAGTGAGCAAGTCTATTGGTGCCATTTTTCCAACAGCATTTGCTCACTTTGTGTCATTTTTTAGCAATAAAGTATTCTTTAATTAAGGTATGTACATTGTTTTTTTAGACATAATGCTATCATATACTTAATAAACTACAGTGTGGTGTAAACACAACTTTTATATGCACTGGAAAACCAAAAAATTTGTATGACTCATTCTGTTGCGACATTCCCTTTACTACTGTGGTCTGGAACTGAGTCTGCGATATCTCCAATGTATGCCTGTGGTTTGAAATCAGGGAGCGTGATGCCTTAAGCTTTGTTCTTCTTTCTCAAGATTGCTCTGGCTATTCAGGGTTTTGTGATTCCATACAAATTTAGGATTGTTTGCTTTGTTTCTGTGAAAAATGCCATTCACATTTTGATAGGGATTGCAGGGAATCTGTAGGTTGCTTTAGGTAGTATGGACATTTTAACAATATTAATTCTTACAATCCATGAGAATGGAATGTCTTTCCATTTATTTGTGTCATCTTCAATTTCTTTCATCAATGTCTTATAGTTTTCATTATACATATCTTTCATCTCCTTCGTTAAAATTATTCCTTGGCATTTTATTATTTTTGATGCAGTTGTAAATGGATTGTTTTATTTTTCTTATGAAACTTCTTAATTGAAGATGTCTTTTAGGTGGAAAATATAACTAGCAGGTGTTAGAAAGCTTTAAATACTTAAAGCATAATGGATTACTAAGGGAAACTGGGAAGCCTAGGGGCCATCCTTAGTCTTTGGGGACAGTATCATAGCCTTCCCTAATACATCCCATGTGCCCTCATAGGAGACCTTGAGTCTAGCCAGGCAGGTTCATTCTTGTGTTTTTGTATTTATATTTGTAAACCGGGATTTAGGAGAGAGTAATTTAACAAAAAGGCGTTGATATTTTTCTGATGAGGTTTGAGACTGTTTCCTACTGGGCTATTACTGTCTTTAATGTTACCTGATTTATACACCATTTAAAATAGTAATAATAATAGATAATGTGTTTATTTTCTTATAGATTGCAGAAATTTTATTCCAAACTGCCCAAGATGCTGGGATCAATTTTGACACTGTGTGTGGAGTACCTTACACAGCTTTACCATTGGCTACAGTTATCTGTTCAACCAACCAAATTCCAATGCTTATTAGAAGGAAAGAAACAAAGGATTATGGTAAAGTAAAAGTAGTATAAGCGTTAAGTTGATATATAACCTGAAAATGTTAGAATTTTTTCTTCTTCTAGGCAGTGATGTTTTACCAGAGTCACCTTTAATATTCTTCATAGGTCCTTTAAGTTGTTATGTGGAATTTGTTAACTGTTGCTATAAATCATCTTCCTTTCCTTTAGAGTATGGAGGTGAAATGCTTTGTATTGATTAGGCAATGAAAAAAAGTGCCTTTTTTGCACCATATCTATGAAACCCAACATTTTTACCAGCCCTTCCCTCATCAGAATGTTCTAAGGGCACATACTTTCTCATTGTATTTGTATTTAAACTGCATAAAGAGAAATATGTGAATAAAATTACTCTCATAAAGCAATATAAATGCCACATGAAATTCTAATTTTTTCGTAGTTCCATGGCAATAGGTTATCAGGTGGGTGTGTTAAACATGTGGGCTTGCTTTAAAACCAAATCAATGTAAAAATATTAGAACTGACTTCATATTTGATGATATTAAGGAATTACTGAGGTTTTGTTTTTGTTTTATGTTGATGTGATAGTGTTTTTGTTATTTTTTTAAGAGTCCTTACCTTTCACAGATGCATTTTAAAAATGTTTATGATGAAATCATGTGATATCTGGGATTTGCTCCTAAAAATTATAGGGAGAGGGAGCGGGTGGGGATATAGCTGAAACAAGATTGACCGTGAGTTGTTAAGTGGCAAGATGCTGTAATTATGGGTGTTTGTTGTACTCTTTGGTCTAGTTTTATTTGTTTGAAATTCTCCATTATAAAAAAAATAAAAATATTTTTGCTGCTTGATGGCACAGTGTTTATCTGTATGAATCCCTGCCCATAAGAAAACTATTATTTGTATTTCCTTATTATATATCTTTAAAAATATTTCATAGAAAAAGATCATTAATTTTTAAATACGCCTATAAGTACTTGCAGCCTTGTGTTCTAGTCTAAGCTGATTCATTTAAACTTGCCAGTTCTTCAAGGGGAGGAAAGGAGCTAAGAGAAAAGGAATGGGAAAGGGCAAAGATGGTACCTATAGTAAAGCTCAGAAAGTGGGCAAAATGCCCCCTAATTCTATTTCTGTTTCAAAATAAGACAAATTTGATAGTGGAAAATATAAAAATAAGTCTCTAAAAAAATGAGTTTATAAAGTCTACAGCCTGAGATATTTACATTTTGTAGATTATCTGAAAATAATCTATGGTGGGCGTTGGAGTAGGGAAGTATATTTAGTCACATTGCATTATATAATTCATAAAGTTGTAATTGGTCTAAATGGTTGCTGAATATTTTCCCACCTGAATTTATACCCTGGAAAGGCTAATTGTTTGGCTGATCTTGAGTAATGAACTTGTTTGATGATGGAAAAAGGAATAATTTCATTGATGATATTGGGTTATTGTTGGTTCATAACTTTCCTTGATCTAGGTGATCTTGCTTTAAGAAACCCCATATTTAAAATTTTGATCATAAACATGTTAAGTGGTGTTTATCTAACAAAATTTTTTTTTTTAATTTTATTTATTTTATTTTTTCCCCCAAAGCCCCAGTAGATAGTTGTAGGTCATAGCTGCACATCCTTCTAGTTGCTGTACGTGGGACGCGGCCTCAGCATGGCCAGAGAAGCGGTGTGTTGGTGCGCGCCCGGGATCCAAACCTGGGCTGCCAGCAGCGGAGCGCGCACAGTTAACCGCTAAGCCACAGGGCCGGCCCTAAGTGGTGTTTATCTACACTGCAAAATAATTTGCTAGTTTTACTGTAAATGTTCTGTATATGTAACTTTGACAATTTTGGGATGCAGAGACACTGAACAAAATGGCAATCGGCAATCGTGGCACATTCAACATTCATCAGAAATAAAGATAAAGTAGCTCCCAAGCAGAGTATCAGAAAATAAGATTTAGATCATCCATGTCTTCATGAATACATGCCAAATTTATACTGCAAGATGCACCTTGAGTTGACTGAAATACATAATTTTAAGCTGGAATCAACATAATTTTTTCTTTTCTAGGTACTAAGCATCTTGTAGAAGGGGCTGTTAATCCAGGAGAAACCTGTTTGATCATTGAAGATGTCATTACCAGTGGATCTAGCATTTTGGAAACTGTTGAGGTTCTTCAGAAGGAGGGCCTGAAAGTCACTGATGCCATAGTGCTGCTGGACAGAGAGCAAGGAGGCAAGGGCAAGCTGCAGGCGCATGGGATTCATCTCCATTCAGTGTGTACATTGTCCAAAGTGCTAGAGATTCTTGAGCAACAGAAGAAAATTAATCCTGAGATGGTTGAGAGAGTGAAGAGATTTATTCAGGAGAATGTTTTTGTGGCAGCTAATCAGAAGAGTTGTCTCCCTTCTGTCAAGAAAACACCCAAAGAACTCAGCTTTGGTGCACGTGCAGAGCTGCCAAGGATCCACCCACTTACATCGAAGCTTCTCAGGCTTATGCAAAAGAAGGAGACCAATCTATGTCTGTCTGCTGATATTTCCGAGTCCAGAGAGCTATTGCAGCTAGCAGATGCTTTAGGACCCAGCATCTGCATGCTCAAGACTCATGTAGATATTTTGAATGATTTTACTCTGGATGTGATGAAGGAGTTAACAACTCTGGCAGAACGCCACGAGTTCTTAATATTTGAAGACCGGAAATTTGCTGATATAGGAAACACAGTAAAAAAGCAGTATGAAGGTAAATATTATTCAGGAATCTGCAAGAATCAGAAATCCAGCTTAAACTGGCTGAAGAAAAAGAAATATATTGGCTCACATCACTGAAAATCCAGCCATAGAACAGGCTGTCAAGCATGGTTGGATCGAGGAGCTCAAGTTAATGTCCTTTGGGCTTGCTTTCTCTCCATCTCTCAGCTCTGCTTTCTTCTCTTTTGACTTCTTTCTCAGATAGGCACACCCATCATGCCTGCCCCAACTCAGTCACTCAGGCCTAGCGTATAGAATATCTTTATTAGCTCACTTGGGTAATGTGCCCCACCCCAGGTGATGTGAAGTTTTTAATTCTTTGTAAACTTCTTGAATGGAGATCTGCTCAGGGGGAATTCCCCTGAAGAAAATAGATGTGCTAATGCCAGAAGAAGGAGACGTGAGTTCTAGGCAGGCAAAAATGACTGACAGATGTTGTCTTGGCAGAACACAGTGAGTTCTGAATATTTGAAGAATGAAAATTGCAGATATAGGAAGCAATGAAAAAGTAGTATAAAGTTGTAAGATTTATTTTCTGCAGATAATGATCTGTGTGTGTGTATATATATCTCTTAAAAAATTTTTTTTATGTTAAATAGAAACTTAAAATAGAGAACATGCTGGTTAAAAAAAACTGCTTAAGGGGCTGGCCCTGTGGTGTGGTGCTTAAGTTTGGCGTGTTCTGCTTCGGTGGGCCGGGTTTGGATCCTGGGCACAGACCTACACCACACTAGTCAGCCATGCTGTGGCAGCGACCCACATATAAAGTGGAGGAAGATTGGCACAGATGTTAGCTCAGGGCTAATCTTCCTCAAGCAAAAAAAAAAAAACCTGCTTAATTCTCTACCCGTTTTTCTATGCAAATTTCTGTCGTATTGTACATATCTAATGCTTTTTTCACTTAGCCTTATACTAGACATTTTATCATGTTATTTAACACTTATAGGCATCTTTTGAGATAACTTAATTTTTCTTAAAGTAATGCATGTATATATTGTTAAGCTATTTCTTTAGGATAGATTTGTCTGTAAGTGACTTTCTTTATGTCCTTAAGATGTCCTACCGTCATCATATTGCTTAGTTTAGTTTATTGACTGATGTAAGAGTTACACAAACTTTCTACAGTTTTGCATATAGTTTTTTCAAAAATCAGTTGATTATTGCTGTCAGCATTTAAAATGAATACAATTGCCTGTTAAAATTTAAAGAGCTAAAAAGACCTAAGGAACAAGTAGATGACTTGAGAGATGGTAAAGTTGCTGAGAAACCCTTGTGGAATGAAAATTTGTCATCCTCAGAGGAATTTCAGAATATTGAGATCTTTGACCTCAATAAATGCCCGTCTTTGCTGCAGTCCATTTCTAATTGCATACATTGTGTTGGTCACAAGCTTCAGCCTGCATGGGAAAACAGTCTCATCAGTGTTGCTGATAAACTAAGTGCAGAACTTGCAAGAGTTTTTTCTCATCGTGATCTCTCAACTAGCTACCAGGTAGACAGGTAAATTTTTCATAGATGGAATCATAGGTACATTGATAATTACTAAAATTCTTAAAGTGTTTCACTGTTTTATTAACATGTTACTAGGAAATTATTTCATATTGTACTTGGTTGGTTGGGCAAAAAGTTAAAGGTTTTTGTTTGAAAGTTGTCAAGTATCTGTTTCCTCCTTCTTCTTAGGTGGTATCTTTAAAATAGCTTCCTGGGCAGATCTAATAAATGCTCATGTAGTGCCAGGCTCAGGAGTTGTGAAGGGCCTGAGAGAAGTAGGCCTGCCTTTGCACCGGGGCTGCCTGCTCATTGCAGAGATGAGCTCTGCTGGCTCCCTGGCCACTGGGAACTACACTGAAGCAGCGGTAAGTGACAGAGGGATGGGGTGAGAGAAGGCCAGGGCTGTTATGCTATGTGTTACAGGGGAAGAAAATATCTCAATTTGGGTCTTTGGAACCTTTGCCAAAAGACAGAAAAAAATGAGCTGTTGTTAGTGTGACAGTATATTGATACTAGTTGGTTAGAATTCCCGGATAGTTAAGAGCATTTTATATCTTGTAGTGGACACTTAAGAGATTTGAATTTTTCTCCAAGAGAGAAACATTGAAACACAGATATTTGGTCAAATAAACATCTGACTGTACTTACTGGACCTTTAAGATAGAGTTTTTTCATCTCACCATGAGCTGAAATTGAAGAGCTTGTTCCCAGACATGCTGTTTCTCGCAGTCTCCAAAGTCCTGTAGAGATGCACATTCTTAGGATGGCAGCCCACATGAAGGGCTTTATCCTTTTCAGTCTTTGATATTGATTAGTTGTTGTATGGGAAAGCTCTTATAGTCTACACATTGTTTCCTCCAGTAACTCCCCATTAAAAGTTCTTATAACATCATACATATTAATACCCAACCCCCAACCCTGCACGCCAGAGTAAAATGTGAGATGGATAATTAATTATCTAGTTAAAAAGTTCCTTTTTACTTTTTCCTCTAGGTTTCCTTGTTGGATAGTCACCTAGAAAGGTGGATAGATCACCTTTACAGATATTTTAAAGACTATTTTTAAAAGTAATGGGAATTTTTATTTTAATAAAATTTTAATTTTTACATGGGAATTTATTTTTTCATAGTATTTCAAAGTCTGTGTATACAATTGTGAAGAACTCACATGGCCAGGTTTTAACCCCACCCTTGAATTGACCATAAATGTCTGTCATTTCCCAACTCGCATAGCAGAGGCTCCATGAGTGAAGTGCTAATATTTGGCATTGTGGGAGTCTGGGTCTGGCTCAAGGACAAGGCATGACTTGTTGTTAGGTGTTAGTACTTGGTGGCAAGAGTGAAACAAGATGAGCCTTCAGGAAGAGCCAAATTAGAAAGTCAGACAGACTTTCTAGCAAAACTTCTATGAATATGAGGTAATGATAGAAATTGTGAAGACCGCTTATTGGCAAATTTAAAGAATAGGGAAAGTGGCAGAGGTGAGATTTCTTTAGCTCTTGACAAACGTAGCTGTTTTTTATATGGTGGCTGTCCTTGGATGTGGAATACCTAGATAGGCAATAAGTCTTCAGTGTGGTTTCATACCATTATAAATGTATGCTAGAGTATTCTCCTCATATCCTTTTTCTTTTTGGAAGTGGGTGTATCATCAAGCAGCATTACACATAGTTATGCAGGATTTAGATTTTAGGCACACATAGTATAGGGTTTTTAATGTTTTTAGGGTATGATTAATTGGGAGGAGGGGAGAGGGGGCGTTATCTCAGGGTCTTAATGGAGCAAGTATGTAGACTCATATCTAAGATTACCTGTTTTAGATATAATGAATTTAATATGAAATCAGAAAAGACATCTATAAAATAGCAAAGTTTCTTACTAGTTAATAGAGTCAATTTTTTACTTTACTTGTAGAACTATTATTCTGTGTGATTAACTGCTTTCTTATCTGTCCTGTTACATTCCATTTAGGTTAGAATGGCTGAAGAGCTTTCTGAATTTGTGGTTGGTTTTATTTCTGGCTCCCGAGTAAGCATGAAACCAGAATTTCTTCACTTGACTCCAGGAGTTCAGTTAGAAGCAGGAGGTAAATCTATTCATTGGTCATAGTTCTTCCAAAATGCTTCTCTACCCCTCAGCAAGGGCAAAATAAAATTTTCTGTGTTACAAAGTTGCTAAAGAGAAAACTTGTTTGTCTAGAACAGTAATGAATGAGCCCTTTGGCCTGGTGATACTGACCTAGATAATGCAGAATAGCTTGCAGTCTAATTTTAGGATGAAAATTTAGAAAGCTTCTTTTCTTTGAAAGATACCCAGAAACTGATATTTTGGTTTAGTGTTTCCCAACTGATGTTCTGAATATGCTGCCAAAAAAGTGTTCCACGCTCAAGGAAGAATGCTCAAGGCTAAACAAAATCAAACATTTGTTTCTTGTTAGAGGACTTCGCAGAGCCTTTGATTGCTAATGTCTGTTGTCACTCTCCAGTGTGGAGACACGTGGTTCTGTCGTGGCTCCCAAACTTATTTGAACATGTAACACTTTCAGCAGCCTGCGAAATGCAGTTGTAGTGACTGAAAAGCTGCGTATTTTCTCCTTGATAGTTTCTAGTCGATAAAGGAATAATATAGTTATATAAATATACATATTTAATGATGACCTGGAAACATTTTATTTTTCCTGAATTGGTTATTGTGCAAGAAGTTTGCTCATCACAGGTATGGGAGTTTGTTCTATCCCACTTTCAATCTCTTTCCTTCCTTTTTTTTCTTTTTTTTAATAATCTTATTTTTTTATTTATTTTTCCCCCAAAGCCCCAGCAGATAGTTGTATGTCATAGCTGCACATCCTTCTAGTTGCTGTATGTGGGACAGGGCCTCAGTGTGGCCGGAGAAGCAGTGCGTCGGTGCACGCCCGGGATCTGAACCCGGGCCGCCAGCAGCGAAGCGCGTGCACCTAATCGCTAAGCCACGGGGCTGGCCCCATCTCTTTCCTTCTTTATAGATTAGGCTTTAAAAGTTGGAGATTGGAACTATGAACAGTAGAGTTCTCAGTTAGCAAAACTATTTAAAATGAAAACAACTATGCTTATCACTCCTCAGTGGAATTTGTCAGGTTGACAGCTCTGATTTTCTGTTTTTACATTGAAAAGTTCAAAAGGTATATTTAAAAATATTAAGAGAAAAGTAGGTTTTATAAAAACTAGTCATTCTTGTATAACACCTGTCTCTCCTTCACACCATTCTTTCCCTAGTCTAGCTTCCCTCTCCAGAGATAATCACATAACTGATATATGTTTCCTTCCAAACCTTTGGCTTTGCATGTACTCACATATGCAGGGAGAATTTGGAGAATGTTTTGTATATGTGCAGCTGTATTACGTTTCCACATCGAGAGTTACCTTTTAACAACTGCATAGTGTTTGCTAGTTACAATCGGGCCATAATATATTTAACCATTCTCCCGCTGATGGGTTTATAACTGTGTACAAACAGTGAACATCCTTGTATATATTTTTACATATGTAGAATATTTCTGGAATACTCTTCTACTAGGCAAGAAACTCCTTGAGGGTGAGAGCTCTTTCTGAAGAATGCATATCCTCCAGTGCAGTACCCTTGTGCTTCATAAATGTTCTGTAAATACTTATGCAAATATTGAAGGGATGCACGATATGCTGTATAGGACCATATGAAAGAGTAGGTGTTCTGTGAGTGGGACAACACTAATAACATAATGATTGAGGGTATGAGTTTGGTAGACCTTGGTTTTCTTTTTAAAAATACTGAAATACTAGAACTAGTGGGTACTCACTGAAGGAGCTAACCTTGAAGGAGCTAATTATTTTATATAAATAATATAACCACACTTAAGGAAAGTATTGCCTTTTTGGGGTTTTTGGGGGTGTGTGTGTGTGTGTGTGTGATGTGTGAGAGAGAGAGAGAGGAAGATCAGCCCTGAGCTAATATCCGTGCTAGTCCTCCTCTTTTTGCAGAGGAAGACCGGCTCTGAGCTAACATCTATTGCCAATCCTCCCCCCCCACCCCGCTGAAGCCCCAGTAGATAGTTGTATGTCATAGTTGCACATCCTTCTAGTTGCTGTATGTGGGATGCAGCCTCAGCATGGCCAGAGAAGCGGTGCGTCGGTGCGCGCCTGGATCCGAACCCGGGCCGCCAGTAGCGGAGAGCGTGCACTTAACCGCTAAGCCACAGGGCCGGCCCCTGGGTTTTGTTTTTAATTAAACAGAAACTTTCAACAGAAAACATTACAGAAGGTTAATCGGGAAGAAAACTAATAGGCTGATGAGAATTCAAATAAATTAAGGAATGGTAACTGTACCCCCTGGGGTTAAAGAATATTGGAAGTCTCCTATGCCATTTCCCAAGTTTCACATCACAGATTTTATACACTACTCAGCAGGATGACTTGCCTATCTAAGGCTTTGTAATAACTGCCTTAGTACTTAACAACTTTTGACGTTTTTTAAAACTCCACATTTGCACTAAACATTTTATGAGTCAGATAGATTTGGATTCCTGGCCCTTCCATTTAGTAACTGTGTATCTCTGCACAAGTCACTTCACTTCTTTTAGTCTAATTTTCTTGATCTGTAAAATGGGGATAATAACAGTGTTGACCTCATAGGGTTGTTGAGAGGCTTAAATGAGATAATATGTGTAAAGCACTTAACACAGTATCTTGGCACAGAGTAAGCACTCTGCTTGTCAACTGTTAACGTTCATTGTAAGCCTCCACAATTTTTTCACTAGGTAGTACAGTTAGGATCTAGGCTTTTAGGGATATTTAAAGCATCTTGGATTTGAAAGATAACAAGCCATTTAACAGAAGGCTTCTAGAACAACAGAATTTTAAAAAAAGGAGAAAGCAGGCTTCTGATTTAAGATGGCTACATAGGAAGATCTGAACTTGCCTCCTTCAGTGGATGCACTGAGTCTGCAGCTACATGTGGAACAGTTTTCTCTGAAAAAAAACCTAAAGCCTGATTGAGTGAGTACTACACAGTGGGCAGATGAGAAGAAAACCACATTGAAGTGGGTACGAGAGGCTGGGACACAATCTGACCATAAACCCCACCCCCAGTGTAGCAATCCATAATCAGAAGGGAACTCAAGACCCAGAGCTTCTCCCTGAGGGATGAAAGGTTTGCATTGCACATCATGCACCCCAACTTTTAAGACTTGCACCTGAGAGATGAGACTTCAAAATATTTAGCTTTGAAAACCAACAGGGCTCATGTCCTAAAGGCCCACAAGACTAGTGATCTAAGAAAGGGCTCATGCACTCGGACTCACCGGCCCCAGGGCCTGGCTCAGAGGCAGCCAATGTCCCCAGATTTTAAGTAGGAAAGGCTCATTTGCTAATATTCAAGTGTCAGCCTGAGGGGCAGGCATCTTCACTTCACATACATATCCAAGAGCCTGCTGGAACACTCTCTGGGCGTGGATACTGGGGCACGCTGTATTCATGCTTTTCCTCTGCCTTGACCTAGCTGTTGGGTACCCTGTATCTCTCACTTTTTTTTTTTTTTTTTTTTTTACTTTTTCCAGCAGGCACCGCCTTTACACTCCCCCTCTGCTTTGCTACAGCCAGTGGGCACCGTCTTCGTGCTCTCCGTCGGCTGCACTCCAGAGGACCAGTATGTCCCAGAAGGGAGCTTTTACCTGTATCTGGTGCCCTGATTTTTATGGCTATTGCCCAGGGGACACCCTTTGATCACTTGGCTCTAGTGGCCAGGGAGGCTTGCATTCCTGGGTCTCAGGGGACTCTAACAATCGGAGAGACAGCTCTTGGCAGGCTACCACCCCCAGGGCATTGCACAGACAACAAACTGAAACACACCCCAGTCTTCCTGTGAAAGAGGCCTATTTGCTTGTCCAGGAGCTTTGGACAAAGGGGCAGGCTTCTGATTTGACACACGTCTAGTGGCCTACGGAAGTGCTCTCAGGGAACAGTGGCTGGTGGATGCAGTCTTTGTGCTCTCCCTCTGCCTCACTGCAGCTTGCTGGTGTCTACGAGAAGGGAGCTTATACCTTTGTATGGTGCCCTGATTTTTGTAGCTGCTACCAAGGGACACCTCTATATGGCCTGGCTCTGATGGCCCCTGGGGCTTATACTCGAGATTCCCACAGGACTTTAGCCAACAGATAAAGAGTTCTTAAACAGCTACTGCCCCTAGGGCACAGCAAGAGGCAACAGACCAGTCTTTCTGTGAAAGAGGCCTATTAGCTAATCATCGTAGCTGCAACCTGAGGGGCAGGCTTCAAATTAAACACACATCTAAGGGCTGAATGTAATCCTGTCTAGAGACCTCAGAGATTGGGGGTTATCTTTCTGCTCTCCCTCTGTTGCACTCCAAAGTGCCGGTATCTCCCAGAGGGGAGCTCTTCCACATGTCTGGTGCACTGGTTTGTAAATTTGGTGCCCTAGTTATTGCAGCTGCTGCCCAGGGGACACCCTCTGATCACCTGGCTCTAGTAGCCAGGGAGGCTTGTGTTCCTGGGTTTCAGGGGACTGTAACAATCAGAGAGACCATTCTTAGCAGATTACCACGCCCAGGGTACTGCATAGACAACAAACTGAAACCACCCCAGTCTTTCTTTGAAAAATGCCTATTTGCTTGTCTTGAAGCTTTGACCCGAAGGGGCTGGCTTCAGGTTTGGCACATACCTGAGGCCTGTAGAGCTGTTCTCAGGGAATGTAAGCTGATGGAGGCCATCTCTGCGCTGTCCCTCTGCTTCACTACAGCTTGCTGGTGTGTCCCAGAAAATTGTTTATACACTCATCTGAAGCCCTGATTTTTGCCAAGGGGACACTTCCGGATAGCTGAGCTCTGGTGGCCAGTGGGGCTTATGCTTGCAGTCCCAAAGGACTCTATATGCATGCTTTAAAAGCTGTTTCCTGAGGGTCTGGCTTCCAATTAGCCTGAATCTAGGTGCTGAGATCCTCCCTTTTGGGATACTGATAGGTCTTGGCACACCCTCAACTACTGGGAGCTATTATAATTATAATAGGCTGCTTGGACGATCACCAAGATTTGAGAGACAACCAAGAGCTAGGGCAGGGTTGA